AATATTCACATAATGTCTGTGGTAAACTTTTAAATGAGTTGGCCAATAAAAAATTGGCATGGAGAGTGTAAATTGAAAAAAATGTGGATGGGACAAATTTATTGACATAATAAGCCAAATCATTTAACACCACAATTCACTCTGTCCAAAGGGATAATAAGTCAGGGCTTTAACGCATGCGCCACCAATTGCATTAAGCCCAATCTCCTAATGACCGTTAAGTTCTCCGCAAAATGAATCTCATTAAGTTTTGGAATTGAAAGTTTTGATATAGCTCATGAAAACAAATTAAGTGATTTAGGCTTTATTTGTGATGATTTTTTTACTGCTTCTTAAATCAGTTTTTTAGTAAAAAAATTAAAATGTTTGTACTAAAAAGCCGGTTTAAGAAGCAGTAAGAAAGCCGCAACAAACGAAGCCTTAATAAGTTTTTTTCCAAAGCATGCAGTTCGTCCTAGTCTATTGGTTAGAAGTTTTGATTATCAATTAAGATATCTTAAGTTCGAGTCTTAATATATATGTGATATGTGTGTGAGTTTGTCTTAATTGACCTAAATGCCCCCCTTCGGGTTCAATAAATCGATCCATTTCAAAAATCGAGTCAAGTTCGGATTGACCCGTTGATCCAAAATTGACCCTTTTTTTTTACCCGGCAACCCGAGATTAACTTATTTTTTACCTGAAAAGTGGATATTGACCCTTTTTTGGACTAAAAAACTAATAGTTTTTTATTAGCACCCGAAGGATCGGGTTGACCCAAACCCGAAGCGTGTCGGGTTCGAGTTCGAAAAATCGATCCGTTTGCAAAAATGGGTCGGATTCGAATTGACACGAATAGTGTCGGGTTAGTTTCGGTTTCGACCCGAACCGGACCCGTGACCCGAAACTGACACCCTTAATGCACATTATTTTGTTCAATAATTCTTACTTAGACCTATTCTATGTAGAAAATAGACATCTATTGTATTAGCAACATATCAACAGAGTAATCCAGGGGCGAAACCAGCCCAAATTTTTAGGTTGGGGGGGGGGGGGGGGCTTTAAAAGAAGGTTGT